TTATTATAAATATATATATATTCTTCAATGACTTCAAGTTTTAACATGTTCTCAACCTCTAAGTTTATAACATCCCTCCGGGCCTCAGGAATTCTATAGGGTTTGAGATTAACTCTTTTCCCTGGTTCGGTTATTATATCATGTTTGATCACCTTAGTCTTTCCTGGAACTATCAAGAAAACATCCCTATTCCTTCTTATGAAATCTCTGACCTCTTGCTTCTGATTAACAGACAGAGTCTCAGATAAGTTCACCTTTGGCTCTACTATAGGAGGTTCTGAAGGTTTTAAAGCAACCACAACCTCCCTGTCCTTCCAAGGCAGATTTATATGATACAACTGTTTAGGCTTTCTTCTTCCTGGTTGTCTGACTTTATAATTGACATCACTCTTGCACTTTTTCTATTATTTCATATGGTCCATGCCAAGTCGCAAGGAATTTGTTATCCACAGTAGGGACCAGAACCAAGACCCTGTTTCCAGGTTGGAGCACTCTGATTCTAGCATTATGGCTATAGCTGTTTTTCTGAGCCTGCTGGGCTTCCAGCATGTATTCCCTGACAATAGGCATGATGGTGGTCATTTTATCCTGCAATCAGGGGCGGACTGACCACTCGGGCACTTCGGTCATGGACCGAGGGCCCGAGACAGCCAGGGGCCCGGCCGCACAGCCATGCTCCAGCTGGAGAGATCAGATCAGACATCTCTCCAACTGGAACGGCAAAAAAAATAAAAAATAATTTCCTTTAATAGGTTGCTGGGGCCCCCGATGCAGGCGGGGCCCCCGATGCAGGCAGGGCCCCAGCAACCACCCCCCCTCCCTCCCATGAGACCTGGCAGCTTCACCTCCTCTCTGCCAGGTCTCCTTCTCCCTGTCCCGCGGTGCTCTGTGTGATGGGGAGAGGTGGGGACAGGAAGTGACATCACTTCCTGTTTACTCCTCTCACACAGAGCCCAGCGAGGGGAAGGAGCAGCAGCCAGGGAGAGCAGAGAGGTAGGATACACCCCCTCTGTCACTAGTCACCCTCTCTCTGTCACTAGTCACCCACCCCTGTCACTAGTCACCCCCTCTCTGTCACTAGTCACCCCCCCTGTCACTAGTCACCCACCCCTGTCACTAGTCACCCCC